CCCCCCCCCCCCCCTGCACCTCCTGATTACCCAACATAGTGTTCAAATGATGCCAACAATAATATTGCCTACTGTACAACAATGTATCATCAACATGTTGTCTCGCTTGAACGGGGCTTAACTCAGTATTTGTGATTTTCTGTTGCCAGGATTTTGAAGCACTGACGCCAAATCTTCTAGCTCGAACTGTTGAGACTGTGGAAGGTGGTGGAATTATTGTCGTTTTATTACGAACTATGACGTCACTAAAACAACTATATGCCATGACGATGGTAAGGAGAGAGTCGTACAAGAATATTTTTCAATGTAAACATTCACCCTAGCTGACCCGTGATTAAAAGTGTGGGTCAGCTCGGGAAATGTTTAGATGAAGTTTTAGGCCGATATTTTTATAAACAGTTATTGAATGAGGTTTTGTGATATCCAGAATGATCAAGATTGAGGTACAGTAAGCGTTATATAACATTTACCGAGACCTTGATAATTCAGGATATCACAAAAACCGAATTCCGTAACTGTTTTATTATCCATTGCATTTTCATTGATTCTTTCGACAAACCATGATTTGTCGCACAAAACAACGTTTGGTTGTCAATGTCAAAAAGGTCTGCTTGTATATTTAAAACTGCCGCTTGCTATAAAATTACATACCGTGGGCTCAGCCTTCACATAACTCAGTTATCTGCTAGCAGATAACTTTGTTATGTGCAGGTTGCGTGATTTCCATATTTAGCTGTAAGCTACTGGCCAGTCAGAAGACACATAGTGACTACAATGTTTAATAATTATATCAGTTATTCGATATTTCATTTTGAAATTTGTCTGCCACTGTAATTAGCCATATGAAACGTTTTATCATGTGTATCACATCTTATTCCAGGATGTTCATGCTCGATACAGGACTGAATCACATCAGGACGTTGTTGGACGCTTTAATGAAAGGTACAGTAACTATACATGCTATATAATATACAGTATGGTTCATTGGTTTTAGAACTCGTTTTAAAACTGGCAACTTCCAATCGTATTTTGGATGCATTAAAATTGAGCAGTATACAGTAGCTGTCGAAAACGTACCTTCAAATATGGTTTGACGTTTGTGGTCTGCCGTAAACAACCAATATTTGACTATGCTGATATAAGTTGGGGAGCGATGTTAGGGACTGGTCATAAAGTAACTAGGGTGGGCTCTTTGCCAATACGTTCGGTGACCCATCTTAGGATGTAGATAAAAATAACAAAGCCCATCTAATCTTACAAAATATTTTTCATGACCCACCCAATCTTTAATTGGGAAAATACACTTTTATAATAAAAAAAAACTTGCAGGTATGAACATTGTAAATATGCACGGCACTGTATTGACATACGTAATTCCACCAAGCTTGACGTTGATACTGAGCTGCTCTCCGGTTGGTTGTATTTGCTGTGATTCGACCACTTCTTGTTGTTGTATAAACAAAGTACTGGCTTCAATAGCAACATTTGCATTTGATAATTTGGATAGTTTTGTTTACTTTTATTATAAATATTATTTGAAGTAGACATGCATGGGTTTTTGTTTGGTGACCCAACCGTGGACATACCAAAAAATTGGCGGCCCATCGAAAATGCCCAAAATTTTCCATGGCCCATCCCAAATCACTCCAGCCCACCCTAGCAGTTACTTTATGACCGGTCCCTTACAAACGTGCAATACTTCAAAATAGAGCGGCATGTATTGTTGTTAAACGTATAATCGAACAGAAAATTGCTTCCCTTCGCTCAAGTGGCTCCATCTTTCGACAAGGAGAAAAGTTCATAGATGTATTTTAATTTATCAAATTCTAAATGGTATTGCACCAACTTATCTTGATAATTATTTTGTCAAAAAACGTTAATATTCATAATTTTAGTACAAGACGTAAGGAAAATTTTTGTATTACTCAGAGTAAATAGAGAACTTGGTAAGAAAGGTTTCAAGGTGCAAAAGACTATAATGAGCTACCAACTGAAATTATGAATTCTCTAACTTTAGCTAGTTTTAATTAATTAAAAGTGGAATTAAACAACATTATATATCTGAACTGTAAATATGTTGGAATTAATTTGGAATAGACATATAGGATTGCATAATTTGTGTATTTATAGCTAATAATATGCAGGGGCCCTATGGATACCAGCTTAACAGCTGAATGGGCCACCCTGCTTAAATAAAGTCACAACAACAACAATGTTGAATTCTCCATTGACGTTTACAGCAACCGCAGGTAAGGTAAGTTCTTCGAATGGCTAACGGTTTATCTCAAAATATGGTTTGAAGTTTGCCGTTGGTGGTTAGGCGTCTGCTGTGAACGTCAATCTTAATGTTTCTATATTAAAAAAACAAACACCGTTATCGTCAAGCGTTGTAAAATTTTTACTGCATGTATTTTCGTATTAAAAAGGGATTATCGCCGGATTTAGAACAAAATTCGGTTGTGTCAAAAAAATTTTTACTCAACAGATTTTTTTTTAAATTGTCAAGATAATTGCTTGAGTACACGAAGAGAAATAATTTGATGAAGTAAAATTTTGGGGTCACCGATGTCGTTTTCGAGTTAAATTGCTTTAAAGGCAAAATATCCGACATCTTGAAATGTCGTTGTTGTTCATGGCAATGGTATACATAGTTGTGTAACTTGTTTAAATTCAAACTCTTTCAATATTGTTTTACATCAATAAGATACCTTTTGTTTTTCAACAAGTAATAATTGTCCAAAAATACGGATCAAAATCGTGAATATTTTTAAAACCTGTATTATAATAATAGTATTATAACAACAGTAACGAATAAACAAATGCTAGTGAAAATCCATTGCAAAGTGGAAGAAAATAATTTTTCATGTCGCAAACATAAATATGGGGAAATAATATTGACCCTTTTCTCGGTCGTGTAGTTTCCTCCGAAAAGCAACAACCAGTTTTAAAAACGTCGTTTTCGAATTTAACCAAAACCGCTTCATTCTTATTAATCTTTGTCAGTCTTGTCAGTTATTCCTTTGTTTGTTCACGATTTCATCTTTGTTTCTTTTCCAGATTTATTCTGTCGTTGAGCTCGTGCAAGCAATGTATGGTGATCGATGATCGTCTCAACGTCTTACCAATCTCGTCTCAGTCACTCAAGATAACACCGCTTGCACCCATGAGTAAAGTACAGTACCAGATACTTTCTTTTTATCGTCAGAACAAAAATAATATCACAGTGCAGCCTTTGAAATTCGTGGCTGCATTTGGCAATTGCTAAGAGAATCACAAGTATCAAGTCACCTTAGTTTTTTGCTGTCGTGAATTTGTTAACAGTGTACTGTAGTCACCTTTTTCGTTGTTTATGAGCACGTCTCCTTTGATACCGCCGTTGTGTTTTCCAAACTCATGCACTATGACGAATTAGCACGGCAGTTTTTGGCCGTCGTACAAATTCTTAATTTCAAAGGCTGCTCAGCTGCCCAATTGAATTAAGTTTTTAAATATTGTATAAATTATGATACTATCATCCAGGAGGAATCGGTTAGTCCAAATGAAGTTGAACTTCGAGAACTGAAGTCATCGCTAGAAGATACTCCTCCCGTTGGAGTTATCGTCAACTGTTGCAGAACTCTTGATCAGGTATGTTCATACTAATGAGGCATTACCCCTCATGGTCTAAACAGATAGGACTGCAGTGAGTCTCTGGTCTAAACAGATAGGACTGCAGTGAGTTAAGGATGCATGGTACATAACATGTGTGTTCACGTTCTTGTTCATGGTTTTTCTTGTACTGTGTCTGTGAAACGAATGCTGTCTGTTAGTTACCCACAGGAAAAATATTTCCATATCGCAAATTCAACCCGAATAACTTCAATTTTACTGACTTAAGATTTCGATGACGTGTTGAGTTTCAAAGTTCAATTCTACAGTAGATTGAACGGTCACTAGTAAAACCTCCCGACTTGCAGAGACTGTTCCAGTGACGTAACCCTCATTAGGTAGGGTTAGTTCAAAAACTAAATCCCTGGGCAAACTAGGAAACATTGTTGTCGAAACATTTGTGATTCTCGATGTTTCCTCAAAGTTTCCCTGTTTGCCCACCCGTGGAAACATTATTGCGGAAACAAATTTGCTTCCCGAGAAGCAAAAATGTTTCCTAGCAAATCCAGAAACATTTGATGTTTCCCTGTGTTTCTCACTAATGTTTCCTAGTGTTTGCCCACTCTGGGAAACATGGCGAAGCATTGGCAGGAAACAATGTTTCCTAGTTTGCCCAGGGCTTAAGGGCCCCCGACAGTTAGGGGCCCCACCAGCCACGGCCTATTGCTTATAAAATTAGAAAACGTAAATGTAGGTTACGAATCAATGGGAAAATGCAAAATTAATAATGCTAAATAATGAAGCCTCCATCGACAAACGTAGCTGATTTTTTAATTCCATCTCAAATAAAACAAAAGTTGTTCTTATTAGAAGTTATATGTGTTGGGGACTGTTATTGTTATTGTAATAGACACGGAATTTTCCAGAACATTCAATAATATTCAATATACATAAATATAATATCTCAGTCAAACAATGAGAACAGTCAACAGTGGGCCCCCACACCAAATATGCCTATGGGACCCCTCTTCCTCCGTTATGCCACTGGGCTGTTCGAGATTATCCTGCACGGTTAAACGCTTTCCCCGGAATGGCTGGAAAGGAAATTCCGAAGCCGTGCGTCGCTTTACTTAAAGTATATACTGTACAGGGCAGGAAAAATAATTTTCTTGGGAGCACAACCTGGGGACAAAAATTTCCTGCAGACCAATGGAGTATTTTTGTGCTAAATCTCTTTTTAAATTCAAGAAATAATGTCTGTCAACCATATGTTGTTGCGCCCATAGTGGGACATGGCAATTTCAATAGCAAACCTTCATTCAAACAAATTTCCTGCAGCTGTTTAACATTTCCTGTGAGCAGTGCTCACGTGCTTGCCTATTTTTTTCCACCTCTGAGTATATACATATGTTTAGTAGAATCATAATAGTATACTATTGCAAATGCTGTAATTTGATTGGCTGGCGAAACAATCATTGTCCTGGCACATTAAAAAAAATGGTGGTAATATTTTATGGAATTTTGTGGAATATTTTATGTTTGATCTCTGATTCTACTGAAACAATTAGATTACTCGCTTTTGATTTATATGAGGTGATAGTTTATTCGATCTTCGCCCTCATCAACCATCACCTCATATAGAAATCTCGAGCTCGTAATCTAATTGTTAAATACCAGGTGATCTGACGGTGAGCAAAAGGACTGGGACAAGCAACAGAATAGAAATCCGGTTTCGTACCTGTAATCACTTGTCACGCCCTGATTCTTTTATGAAACTCTTTGAAACTTTGTGTCTGTGTCTTGCACAGGGAAATGAATGTCTGGGACAAAATTGAAATAGAAATCTAATGCCGTTGATGAGATATTGAGTAATGTGAAACAAGAAATGGATTTCTATTTTACAACTAGTGCCAGGCCTTTTCCGAGTTCCGAGATCCCCTGGTAGTGTACGTTAAAAAAAAAAGAAGAATATTATGGTCCTCCTATAGGCGTATACTGCAAATACAATATCTAATAACTCGAGCCATAGTCGGAGTTATTTTCATTGTTCCCTACAGTAACAGTGGGCTGTAGTATCTGGATGATCTTCTCCGGTTATACCATCATGCCAACCTACTGCGCGTACAAAGAAAAACCAAACCTTCAACAATGTTTGATATTTCGTTTTTCAGGCCAAAGCTGTGTTAAAGTTTATCGAAGCAATATCTGAGAAGACATTGAGAACAACTGTTGCTTTGACTGCGGCACGAGGTCGAGGCAAATCTGCAGCATTAGGTCTTGCAATGGCCGCTGCTATCGCGTTTGGGTAAGATTTTCATGATGATTTTGCTACACTAAAACCAGTAAAAAATAGTATTATGAAGGAGAAGCAATTGCTAGAATAATGAGATTTGTTATAAGGCTAGTATATAAACTAAACTAAACTAAACTAAACTAAACGTAACTGGCTATACTTTGACTGATTTCCAGTTTACGAAAAGAATGCAGACTTTAAAATTTATTCAAATTTCCACAATTATTATTACATATACAGTACATATTAATACGACAGATACATGCACAGTTACTGTACTACACAAAAAGAACTACTAAGTTACAATGATTACAAATAAATTATCGTGCGCAGTGATCAAAGTAGCCAGAAGCTTTCGAGTTGATCATCTCTTCGAGTTGATCATCATCTCTTCGTTGGGATGTACTGTATTCGGTGAAACACGATCTAAACGACTACAAAAACTAGAAAACAGAGCTGCTCGAATTATTTCAAATTTGAGCAATATGTAGATCATTCTATTGCTTTAAATGCCTTATAGGCTGGGAGTCATTTGATATGATAAGAAAAAAGGCAAAAGCATGAATGATGCACAAAAGTTTAAACAAAATAGGCCCTGAGTCTCTCACAAACCTCTTCACGTATAAGAATAATATAACAAATTATAAACTTCGAAATATTTCAACAACCTCGCACCAATAATATGAAAAAGAGTTTTATGTATGGTGGTGCTAAGCTCTCGGACTCTATTTCAAATGAAGTTAGGGAGAGCAAATCTCTATCATGTTTCCAAAAGAAAATTGTCGCTCACATTTTTAATTAGACAACACATGTACAATGTAAATAGATTTTTATATTCCCAATACTTACTGTACCTGACTGTTTAATACTATTTCTAATATTTTGTAAATAATTATTCTAAAGTTTAATATACTTCTGTAATTTCTTTTATACACGCCCCCTGTGGAAATCAGCTTCGGTTGACGGGGTTAGCGTGGGTAAATAAAGTTTTCTATCTATCTATCCTCACGAAACGTGTTTCTGCCTGGGTCTACGGTGTAGGCTAGGCTTTACAGTACAGTAGGTCTGATAGCCGAAAGCTCGCAAATAAGAATAGTTGGACAGTGAATGTCGTGATTTAATATCATGTCCATATTTTAAAGTTAATTGCAGTGTTGATCAATTTCCAAGACGTTTTATTTACTTTGTTTAGATACTCTAATATCTTTGTGACGTCTCCAAGTCCAGAGAATCTGCACACGTTGTTTGAGTTTGTGTTTAAAGGATTTGACGCTCTGGATTATCAGGTAGAGAAGTATTGTAGTTGTTTTGCTTTATTTCAACTTATTTGTTGCGAAATACGACTCATATTGTAAGTCTATAGATGGTTCTTAATCATGCTTGAGTGACCTGGTATTTTTCTTTGGCCTTTGATTGGTCAAATTTGATGTATTGAGCTGTTATATTCATTATTCACCTACAAGTGAATAAAACAAAATCGAAATTTGTTACTGATAAAGAAATAAGCGAAATTAAAATTAATTCAGTCCAAGAAAACACAAAAGACTTGAATAAAACAATTATTCGCCTAGGTGATTGTCGTAGAATATTCACCTCGACTTCGTCTCGGTGAATATCCCCCGATAATCACTTCGCCTTCCAGTTCTCCTCATTAATATTCAATACACGTCAGCATGTACATTCTACGCATGTTCAGTTAAGATGAGCTACTTCATCTTAGCTCTCAACTTGTGGCCACAATTTCTAACCGTGCCGCAGTTTGGCCTGTCCGAAATATGCTTCTCGACCAATTAGTGTTGCTATATTGTGATATGTTTCAAATCTCAGTATAAATGTTACTTTCAGGAACACTTGGACTATGAACTGGTACAGTCGACAAATCCTGAGTTCAACAAAGCTGTTGTTCGTGTTAACGTCTTCAGAGAACATAGACAGACGATACAGGTAAGGACAATACAAATTGCAAGATACGACTTACTCAGGAAAGTCGACAACGCGAAGACGACGGCTGTCAATACAATGGCAATCAATACAATGGCATTAATCATATAGCACATAAATAAATATTTTCATCAAAATACATATTTTCACGTTTTGTGTAGTAGTCTAGCCTTTCAATCCGTGACAGGTTGTTTTTCTAATTGAGGTGATCAAAATTGCTCTGAAGGGTAATGCTCTGCTTTAACCTTTCCAAACTGTGTTAATTTCATACGAAAGTAAATACAAGACAGGATTTCAATGCAATCATTTATGTCAAAAGACTTGTTTAGCCGTCGTTCTCATGTCGCCGGCTTATACAAGCCAGGGTTCGTACAAAACTTGAAAGTCCTTGAATGTCCTTGGATTTGAAAACAAAATTCAAGGTCTTGAATGTCCTTGATTTTGTAAAGAAGTACTTGGAAGTCCTCAAATTTTTCTCGCTTTAGTTTTCGGATATTTTCTGAAATTGTTTGACATTCAAAACGGACATTTTGTTGAATTGATTTTGCATGTTCATAGCTGACAGAGCTGTTTGAAACTCATTAAAGTTGCGTTTTGAAAAATTCAACGTTTTTACTTATTGCTAACCCCTTTTCTTCAGTATTTAGTCCTTGAATTTGCTGATACATGGCCTTGAATGTCCTTGAAAAGTCGTTGAATTTGGCTCATCCTCACATGTATGAACCCTGACAAGCGTAAACTCCATAACAATTGCAACGAGTGATTTCTCTTTATAGCAGATTAATTTTGTCTTTCGTCATGTGTTCTGAATGCATTATAAGCTAATGTTTGGGCTCACTGACCGGAATTATCTATTGTTTAAAACAAAATATGTAAACACGTGAGCAGAACGGACTTGGCTGTCACTTTAAAGAGTTGCACCTTGTACTGAACAGCGCCTTTGAATTTTCTTAAGAATTTTTTCTTCAAATATTTACAGTACATTCATCCGGGAGATGCTCAAAAGCTCGGCCAGGCAGAGTTAGTTGTTGTTGACGAAGCAGCTGCCATTCCATTACCGCTGGTCAAAAGTTTACTTGGACCATATCTCGTTTTCTTATCCTCAACCATTAACGGGTAAGTAAAGTTTAGATTTTGTTGTGCATTAGCCTGAGTATCAGGCTCTGTTTTACATATAGGGCCAGACACAAACCTTAATACGGTCTCCAACCACAATAAAATTTATATAATATGGTATCGAATCAAAATGTTCCAGGAGAATTCCACACAAAAACAACAGCAACAAGCATCTAATTGTAATTAAAATGCCTATAACATGGTTTTGGAGTTTGCATATCTCGGAAGTTTAGGGTATTTTAAGACATTTTGCAATATATTTTGTTATTGAAAAATTTCATCTTGATGGATTTATTAGCTCTTAAAGTTACCGGACATGACGTCAAAAGGAGAGTTTTGTTGCAATGATACAAAAGAAAACTGATTTGCAATTCTCCTTTTGACGTCATGTCCGGTAACTGTAAGAGCTAATAAATCCAAGTGTCTTAAAATACCCTAAACTTTCGAGATATGCAAACTCCAAAATCATGATATAGGCACTTTAATAGTAAGTACTAAGTGCTAAATATACTTTATGATGAACAATACTATAGTCTAATTAGCACTAACCAATCAAAAGACAGATTAACTTTTTTTGTTTAAGAGACCAATTAGGTGAAACGCCGGATTTTGGCTTTTTGACTTGCGGCCAGCCAGGGATTTGGTCTGACCCTCTTCTCTTCCACCGACCCGAATTTAATGTAGGGAAAAGCGGCCCTGATACTCAGGCTAGGTTAGCTGGGCTTGTATGAACGGGCCCATAATAAGAAAGCTTTAGGTTGCTATGGATATAACTACCTGAAAAATACAAGGAGAACTTCTACGTTTCGAGCAAAGGCCCTTCGTCCGGAACTAACTCGAAACGTTGAAGTTCTCCTTGTATTTTTCAGGTAGTTGTATCCGCATCAATCTGAAGCTTTCTTATAATTGACAATACCTTCACTGGCACAGACCAGGTTTCGTACAAAACTTGAAAGTCCTTGAATTTGAAAACGAAAATTCAAGGTCTTCAGTGTGCGTGAATTTTGTAAAGAAGTACTTTTCGTGCTTTAGTTTTCGGATATTTTCTGAAATTGTTTGACACTCAAAAACGGACATTTTGTTGAATTGATTTTGCGTGTTCATTATGTGAAAAAGATGTTTGGAACTCATTAAAGTTCCGTTTTGAACAATTCAACATCAGATTTTACTGATTTCTAACCCATTTTTTTCAGTATTTAGTCCTTGAATTTGCTGATACATGACCTTGAATGTCCTTGAAAAGTCCTTGAATTTGACTCTTCCTCACATGTATACGCACCCTCACAGACCGTTCAAGGCCCCTAATAGTTGCTTTGTTAATTCAGATACGAAGGAACGGGCAGGTCGTTGTCATTGAAGTTGATAAGTCAGTTGCGTGTGCAAAGTTCCGGCTTGGGAACTGGTACCGATGGTGAAAGCAAAAGCGGAAATGACGCAAACACCGGAAGTTCAGCAAGCCGTATTTTATCCGAGATCTCACTGAATGAGTCAATTCGATACTCGCCTGGTGATGCAGTAGAAGAATGGTTAAATCATTTGCTGTGCCTTGATGCTACTGTTGTACCAAGATTTTCATCTGGTTGCCCGCTACCTGATACATGTGACCTGTATCCTTTGATAACAGCGATAGTAATTCATTTTATACACTTGCATATTAACATATTGTAAAGCCTGCTTTCCATATAGTCGTAACTGTCGCGAACGTGTCTTGTATTCAGAGTAGTGTTCGCGACTAAATGGTCGTCATTAACTATGTTGGTTTCGGTTTATGCAAGAGTTTGGCATCTCGTCACGTGTGTATTGTATTTTTTCCCGTACAACCAATAGCAATGTTTAAATTGAGCATTTGTTCAAGTTATGGATGGATACCTCAACCACAAACTTGTTATTGGTTATTTGAGCGAAAATACAATACACACGTGACGAGATAGGACCAAATTCTTGCATAAAACTGGACGATAACATAGTTAATGAGTTATATTGTCCTTTCATCGAGTCTCCAGACCATTTATTAAAATAACTGTGATTTCATGGAACGCGCGGCCAACAAGTTTTTGGTGAGGGAGAAAAACAGAGAACCCGAGGCCGCTTATTTAAAAGTTGATTGGCTTAATTCTATAGGTTAGCGTGAAAGTCGTGAGTTTTTCAAAGACATCAAATAGCACTCGTCAATCAGACTCGTTCGTGCATATTTTATCCAAATTGCACTCGAAACCATCCTACTACGTATACACAAATTGTTTCGGCTTCCTCTTCGTTTATTGTCAATTTCTCTTCCAGTGAATATTTCTTGACATAATTCTTAGATATTACGTGAATAGAGATACACTCTTTTCTTATCATAAAGCATCGGAAGTTTTTCTTCAGAGAATTATGTCACTTTATGTTTCCTCGCATTACAAGGTAAGATACAACGTTGTAATGAGAAAACTAATAAATTATATGATACAAAGGTTGTTTATATTGAAGCCGGACTGACCCTCTTAGTGAGACAACCTGGTAAGCGAGATCTCGCCGTGTAGTCAGTTAAAATTACGTTGCGTTTATATGGACAACCGGGCTAGCTTGGTTCCCGAGATCTCACTTATAAAAGGCGAGATCACGCTTACGGGGATGAAAATTTCTCCCTATAAACATTCACTGACTAAGCTGTCATGTGAAAAGAGTCTGTTAACGCTCTGCCAAAAATCGTGGGTTTTCTTCGGGCATTCCGGTTTTCCTCCCACAGAGAGAGTTGAGAGGATGGGTTAGGATAAACATAGTTAGGAAAGTAATATCTCTTTGTTGTAAAGATAAATAATCTAAGCTAACTAGGTAATATAAGCACGCGCAATACTTGATGTAATCTGGCTCTGACAAGCCCCGTTGGGGGAATGAGCTGAATAATGTATAATAATATAATAATATAATATTCCTTATATAGAACACTCCTAATGACCTTCAGTTGCTATCAGACGCTCCAGCTCATCATATATTCTGTTTACTTGGTCCTGTTGATCCTGCCAAGAAAACATTGCCTGAAGTATTTTGTGTTATTCAGGTAAAAAATTACTGCTTATATATTTTTGTATCAGAGAGATATGGATTTATCAGACGTGAATGTATGTATATATTCCTAACCATGTGACAATGTCATTCGTATTCAAAAAGAAAAGACAAAGCTTTGCTTGAGAACGGAGTTATAGCTACGTCGCATGATATGAAATGGGTGAATTCATGGCAAAAGCCCACATCACAAAAGCCCACATCACAAATCTCCCCCGACAATGTGCCCTCCGACAAAATCCCCACCGACAATATCCCTACCGACAATATCACGGACGACGATATCCCCGCCGACAATAACCCGCCGTCATAATTCCCACCGACAATATCCCCGAAGACATCCCAGACGACAAAATCGCCCCCGACAATATCCCCGACAACGACATCCCCGCCGACAAAATCTCCTTATTTCCACCGACGATATCTCACCGACACAACACTGTACCGGATAGATTTCCGTAGCGACGTAAAAAAAACACCTATCCGTACCTTTTAGGAACGCTATTTTCAGAGGAATATTGCAACGGAGAGATGTTGTTTCGCTCAGCTTCTGAAAGTTGTACATTCCGTATCGGATAGGTGCTTTTTCGCACCGCTACTGAAAGCTATCCGGTATATAGTGTAAATGTGAGCACTTCCATGAATAAATCTCTGTGGGATTCATATCTTGGGATATCGCTTGAACTGCCTCTATGTATGGTGATAGCGGGTAGATCTGACTATAGTTGTTAATCTAAAGCCTTGAATGCGTTACCCTTTCCTGAAGCATTAGCAAAGCATCTGGTTCTTTTTTAAGGTTTGTTTGGAAGGTGAAATATCAAAGTCTTCAATAATGAGCAGTTTAGCTCGTGGCAAGAGAGCGTCTGGGGACTTAATACCATGGACTATTTCACAACAGGTATTTGTTTACTTCACTGTTTGCAGTCCGCCAAGCAGAGTTGCAAAAAGTGTTCAATTATGGTTTATTCAATTTGTGAAATATATAAATTTACTCATTTTAAGATGCTCTTTCGAGCTATCGTAATGGATTTCGTTCTTCTTGTGTAGATTAAATTTCCATTTACATTAACTAAATTACATAAATTTCACTTGTCTGGTTGCCCGGAACGCCAAAAAGATTTTAGGTCTTGAACACTTTTCGTCGCAAACATGTAACATTGAAAAACAACTGTTAAATGTACATATAAAAATTTACACTTGAATTTTCCATCTACAAAACCTTTTAATATTATAGTTCAATCAAGTTAGAGGCCAAAAAATCTAGGGTTATAGAAACACTCGACTAATCAACACTCGCGTACCATAAATTTTCAATTATAAATATTATTATTAGCATGACAAAATGTTGATTGGTTGAGAGGAGTACAATTATTTCATTATTTGTACCGCAGTACAATTAATGACTTTCCCAAAACAACAAAATGGCGGAAAGGTATTTAAACACAAATGATATTGCCCTAGTAGAACTTAAAGCAAAATATCTAAATGAAAATACGAACAAAAGCACCAAATTTTGGTTGAAAGTCTGGTAGGACTGGGCTTTGGCGAGAGAATGTTTATTTATTTATTTATTTATTTATTTAGCTTTGCCAACTAGGGCAGGGTCACCACAACAGCATATGACAATTGCTGTGGGCCCTTTTATCT